CACTTGATCAACTTCCGAATTTTAATTGATTCAAATCAATTTAATTTTCATCTTTACCATTTACAACAATCAAATTATAATTGTGACTCGAATCTAAAAGTGTTAATTGTTAACATCTTAAATCAAATTAATCAATTAAATCAATCTAAAATTGTGTTGGTGACAAAAAGTTCATCTTTAACAATGGCTGAAAGAAGCTCAAATCATTCAAGTGAAAGTGACTCTGAATCTGTTAAATCTCGAGATTCTCAGAATAAATTGAATGATAATTCTATTAACAATCCTGTTAATAATTCTGGTAACAATTCTGGTGCTAATTCTGTAATTGTTGAACCAAATGATTGGGATATCGAAGAAGCCGAAAGACTTGGTGCTGTTGGCAATTCTAATTCTAATTTCCAGATTGATGTAAGTCATGAAAATTACATTCGTTTAAACTTACGAGATCCTATTCCTCGGTTAACCGCTGATGCACTTCGAAGTATTCCCAAAAACTTGCTCGATACATCAGATTATCCTCCACCTCACGAGTTTGGCTATAAAAAGCATCATTACCCTAACCCAATGGGATGGACTGATGACCAATTTCCGCATTACCAACAAGTTGACTTTTTCTTAAAAGCTCAATCATCAATTGAAGAAAACCTTCAAAAATACAACGAGAGACAACATTGGTATACTAAATTTATCCAAGAGAAAATTCGAATTAATGCTCTTGAAGACATTTCATTCTTGGACTTCACCGAAGTTCCTAAAGGATTGATCAAGGCTAAAGTCATTCATCCTAATCTAATTGAATTTGCTAACAAAATCTTATGTTACTTTTGTGAACAAATTTGTATCTCTCCCATTCAATGTAATAACTGTTGTCGCCTCTATTGTGCTAATTGTGCTCTTTGGCTTAAAAACGCTATCATCAAAGCCCAATTAGAGAAACCAAATTCATCATCTGACTTTTTGTGTATTACTGAGAAATGTTTGGTTACAACCGCTACTACTAAAGTTTATTCTCAAGTAATTCCAGTTACTAATAAGGAAATCCAACAATTCTACGAAGAATCAAAATTCATTTGTGTTCGTGATTGGTGTCAAATTGCCTTTGATTTCACGTTTATTCTCATCATCAAACATTGTCGATTAGGACCAATCGATTATACATTTGATAAAGATCTTAATTTACCATTTATTTCTGGACCGATTCGAAAAGAATTAGTCTCTCAAAAAAGATCTTTGGCCAATCTTGTTCCTCATCATCTCAAAGTTCGAGAAAAAGGACAAACTCATCAACAATATTGGCAACGAAAAGCTGAATCATTTGCATTTCTAATAAGAGAAAAGAAACTCAATGAAAATGATCCATATTTAAAATCACCTTATGCGATCAGAGCTCAAACCAATACCCGAATTAATTATTGGAATAACAGAGAGCTTTCAAAAGATCCAACTAATCCCTTGGCTGAACATGAACAATGGTTACAAAGTATTGGATTCGAATCAACTTCTACCTTTCCCAGAGAACCTGCAGCTTCAAGGTATCCAACTTCAAGGATGCAATCAATTCCGAAATATTTAATCAATTCATCTACTAATTGGCGTCGATTCGCAAAAAATTGCTACGAAGACGATATTGATTCTATTTGTTCAGATGCATCTTCCATTGTTTTATACTCAACTAACATTGAAGATCCAGAGTCTCCATTTGTTCGTATTAATCCATTTGAACTCTTAAATCCTGAACAAAAAGAAAAGGCTACTGAATTCATCAAAGAATTTCCGTCAGCAATCAATCATGATTTCAACTGTTTTCCTCCGAAGGAAATTACTTCACATCGATCAATCAAAGGACGTGAAGAAAGAAGACGATTACTAGCTGATGCTTGGTTTAAACGACCTAAAGCTATGTTACCTTCTATGGCTGATGATCATCTTCAAGCCATTAAAGAAGCAGCTGAATTAGTCCCTGATAAACATACTATTTTCTGCCTGAATTCATTCTGTGTCCGAATCAAAGAAGGACAAAAAGATCAACCACGACCATGTTGGGTCTCAATCGTTGATGCTAATTGTAAAATCATCTATGAAACGTTTGTAAAATACACTGAAATCGATTTCATTGATAAACGTTTCCATGGACTTACCAAATCTGATCTTCGCTTCTCGAGAAACCTTCGAACGGTAAGAGATCAAATTATTGGATATTTAGCCTGTGCTACTAAGATCATTGGTTATGGTCTAATTAATCAATTTCATAACATTGGTCTAACTGAGATGGAAATTAAGAAATTGTTACCAATTTGTCGAGAAATTAACAACTTCTATTCACCTTTCTATCACTCACCAATGAATTTACATTCAATCGCCTACCTTTGGTTCACCGGCTACACTATCCCCTCTGTTCCTCATTCACCTGTAGTAGAGGCAATTACCGCTGTTCGTTTATATCTACTACAATATAAAGAAATTGAATTTCAATGTGAAAACACATCAGATGGAATTCATCATGAAAATTCTGAAATAACCTGTGGTAACTCTATTACCTCAGCTCTACTACTTTTCATGGACTATGAAGTCAAAGCTAAACGATTATCATGGCCAATGGAATGGCGGAGAAATTCCCGAATAAGAACCATTCCATTTTACATCGAATCAAATTGTGTTGTTCCTGATCGTGACCTACTTCGAATTTTATTCCAACAAAAGTGTTCGGAATTAAGTGATGAAAATGAAATCAAAAAGATCAAGTTCGACTTCCCTCATTTATTTACCCGTGAAGACGATGGCAAGTGGGAAGACAAGGAACCCAAGTTAAAGCATATTCCAAGACTATTACTAAAAGATTCTAATCAAGCCTTGGAAATGATTCCAGAACAATCAATTGAACCTGAGCCAGAACCTCAAGGAAATCAAGAGCTCGATGATTGGGATTAACCCATTAATTAAGAAGGTGTCATCTCAGTCATGGTTCGGGGGTCTGAAAGGGTTAATCTTCTTTACCCTCTTAATCAATTGGTTAATCTATTGTTAAGATCCTAAGGGATATAATTATTTAATGGTCCCTTAAGATTCACATTTTTTGTTCTTTTCTATTTTCATTTTCTATTTTCTATTTTTCATTTTTTCTATTCTCTTGATAATTAATCAAAGTTTAATTGTGGTTATCTGGTTAGTTACTAACTATTTCCGAATTCCAATTCGCCTCAACTTCCTAATTTCCTTTTCCTTCTGAAGTGATATAAATAGCCACAATAATCATCATATCTTTAGTTGTTACTGTTGTATTCATGTTAAATTGGTCAAGTGATCAAAGTGTTTCAACCTCAACTCCACATTTGTGTTAACGCTCAATAAAAGCTTAATTTAGCTCGAGCTCATCTTTTGTTTTGTTCTAATTCTAATTAGTGTATGTAATTGGTAATTCTGTAGCAGTACGCCAGTGCAATTCATCGTTATCCCTAATTGAATTAAGTTCGAACTTTCAATTAAATCTAATTACGTTTATCCGTGTTAGTACTCTCAGTTTCTATCTTAAAAGCAAGCTCTAGAAACCCCAATCTATTCACGTCAATCCCGTGGTAGAACCTCAACTATTCGCGTTTATCCCGTGGTAGTTATCATCTCAATCTATTCACGTCAATCCCGTGGTAGTTACTAATCTCATCTATTCACGTTTATCCCGTGGTAGAACCTCAACTATTCGCGTTTATCCCGTGGTAGTTATCATCTCAATCTATTCACGTCAATCCCGTGGTAGTTACTAATCTCATCTATTCACGTTTATCCCGTGGTAGAACCCCAGCTATTCACGTTTATCCGTGGTAGTTAACCCTGATCTAATCGCGTTTAATCCGTGTTAGTCAATCTCAATCTCAACTATTACTTTAACCCGTTTATCCGTGTTAGTAATTCGATTACATTTGTTCCAATTGTGTTAAATCTAATCACGTTTATTCCGTGTTAGTACTTCTAATTTCTATCTTATCGATAAGCTCTAGAAATCTATTAATTGTTATATCTTCGATAAATAAATAACGAAGGTCCGTGATCCGAATCTGTTATTTAAGAAGTAAGGACTTAAATGAGTCTCCTGTTTATTGCCTTATCCGCTCCATTCATCATTCTGTTTGACTTCGAAGTGAAAACCTCAATTCGAATTCTATTATTATTATTATAATTTTTTGTAAACCCTTACAACTCATACAAATATCACGATTACCATGATGATACATACATGATACATGATACACGATGTATCATTGATGAAACAAAAGTAACTGAGTTTCATGAATAATCAACCCAAATATTGAATAAATCAAATGATTTTAGTTCTGAACTTTTCTTCATCCAGAATTGTGTTTGTTTTTTATTATAATCAGAGTAAATTGTTACAATAGATGATTTCATTAATAAATCTTAATACTTTTACTAATGACTACCCTGAGATTTGACTAATCAAGTCATGAATCATAATTTACTAATTGTGAACAGGGAATCCAATTTTAGAGCTCAAGTAGGAGATTCTGTGTAAAATTCAATGTAATAGGAAGTGGAAAAAGTGGATGATGAGGTGGGAAGAAAATAATAATAAAGAAAAAGAGAGAAATTATTTTCCATCAAATTCATGAGCGATATAAAAACAGATCCATTAGATTGAATATCTAATAGACTCATGAATCAAGTTACTCAATGAAGAAGCTCCTGATTAATCAGATAATCAATTGAGGAAAATATTTTTTACTCGAAAGAGTAAAAAAAACGATTCAAACTCCAACTCGAATTGAACTTATCTGATATAATGAAAACGTATATTAGAAATAAATAACTGGCATTCATTTATTTTCATGAACAATTTGGACAAACAATCAATTGTAATATTATTGTTTTCCACTTTTGGTCAATATCAGAGCACTGGTCAGTCCTCATATGTACGTCCTTTATTACCCACACCTTTGGATAGGAATTGGATTAACTTGGTGCTATTAAATTGTCCATGTAACAGATAATTTATCATTATAACGATTTATTGGAAATAGATAACAATTTGTTTGATTAATATTTCACATTGTAATTGGTAACAATCAAATATGTTTACGGTTAATGATCAAGGGAATCAGTTGTCATCAATATATAATATTCAAAGGTTTTCTTGATATTTTCTCAGATTGGATTCCATGTTAATCTTGATTAGTTTTTTATTCACAATTTAATCATAATCAATCACAGATCTAAATGATAAACACAAAATCACCACAATTAAAGTTTTTAATCAAGTTAATCCTGTTGCATCAATTGGATTGATTTTTCTTGCCATTCAGTTTTTTTCGTCCGTTGAGTTAATTGTTGATTACAACGATTAACAATTAAAGTCTTCCAATGATTAATGATTTTCCCTCTCCTTTAATAGTAATAAAATTTTAAACCTACAAAGACTTAAGATGATTAATAATGAGATTAATTGGATCTAATCAATGGTGGATAAATCAAATATCTTTACATGAAACAATCAAAAGCATAAATAATCATAATAATAATATAATTAGTTGATTGTGAAAAGTTTTGAAATGATTTAGCTGATTAATAGTTGATCATAATTTGCTTTGAAGATCCTCACAGCAATTAAGACAATACAATTAACGGATCAATCGTTCATTGCCCCATAACTAGACCATCATTTCCCTGATAAACTGAATCAAATTTATCCCAATCTCTGAGTCCAAGTTGATTGTTGTTACTTGGATTCATCTCCTTAATCATTGATGGTAACAATTTAGTGATTAAATTTTTGTACGACGACGATGAAGTAAACATCGGATTAACTTCAGGCCAAGAATCGGATCGCTCCATTAAATCACTGTGCATTATTAAAGGTAATAAATTGTGAACAATTAACTTTCTTACAACTTTTTTTTACTCGTAACAATTAAACTATTCAAACATCAACTATCAACTGATTAACGACTTTACCTTTGCATTGTTTTCCCATTTGCCGATTTGAATCCGTTGCTATTAATCCTCTTAGCGATAACACCTCGACATGTTGGTGCGAATACAAATTTACTAGAATGGAGAAAGTTTAATTAGTTTCGAACTCAAATGATCAACTAATTGCTACGAAACTCTGACCAATAGAATCATTTGTTTTAATCTACTTGTTGATACACTCATATGATGTGATCTTTATTATTATCATGAGAGTTCAGTCACTTCTAATTAAATTATTTCATATTCGAAGTCAGTTAATTAGTCTGGACATTTGTACATCTGAACTGACGATTTGTTGAAAGTTTGCTTGTATCAAGTAATCAACATGATTCGAACAAATTTAAGGCTAATTAATGTAACAATTAAATGGACTTACCTGCAATCAACTGGATAACATGTTGAAACATTAATTAATTGAAACAAAATGATTAGATTGAAAGTTGAAAACAAAGTTAATTGTGAAAACACTGAAACCATATTGATAAAGTAACGAGAAAAAAAAAGGTTTTAAACTTTTTTTTCAAGAATAATTAACTTTAATTATGATTGATTTTTGATGACAAATGATGATTAAGGTAAAAGTTAATTATGATAAATGATGAAAATCAATTAACCAATTTTAATAGTAATGAAAAAAGGTGAAAACTGAGCTTTAATCACCAATGATTGAAGCTGATACGAAGTTAAAAGTGAGAGAAAAAAAGTTCTGATGAATTTTTTTTTACTCTCGAAGAAACAATTTGAATATTTTTCTACCAGAATTAGTAGAGAGTGAAAATGAAGATGGAAGATGATGAAAATAATATTCTGATGATCAACCGATGATGAAGATGCTCATAATACTGATCTCACACTTTTTCATCATCCAAGACGATCATCATCATGATACAAACCTCATGCTATGCAATTGCGTGACACCAACAACACATCCAGAAGCCTGAATAATATGAAATTATTTCCCTTCGTAATAATATTATTATTATTTACTATACAAGGATGAACAATAATAATCATAGTTGAGCTGAAAAGAATCATGAAAACTCCCTGTTGCTGTTTTTGTTTCATCTTCTCCCCCTGATATCATATCAACTCTATCATATCCTTCATCATGATATAGGAATTTGAACTGAACTTTTTTTTCACAATGAACAATCATCAATCCAACCATTTAGTGTTTACCATGTTGAATATCATGTTGACTGGGAAGTTTGGTATCATGATGATGATGATGCTGAAGTTGGGGATGAAGGTCGCAATTTAGTTCAACAGTTATTATTAAATTCTTAGCATTTACTTTAATTTAGTTTTGTTTTGTTTTTTATTGTTGGAAAAAAATTTTCTCCTTAATAATTGTTACTTACTCTCACTCATCTTATTCAGTAATTACCATGGTAAGAATGATAAGGTTAATGATTAATACCCTTGAGTTGGAAAGTTTCTTAATCATTATCATCATCATTCCTGAATATCTTGGTGATGATAAAATTTTTCATCGAGTTAATTGTTTGGATAAAATGTCATCTTAATTGTAACGAAACAATTTTGTTTTCTATTATTGAGAAAACTAAGTTATCACACTTTTGTTTCATTTTTTCTTTCTTTCTTTCATCCAATTGTTGATTAAATTACAATTACATTCGATTTTAAGTCAATTGATTTATCCATTCATTAATCCTTTGGTTATCATTTTGTTAAATTGGTTATTGATTATTTCCTTATCACATTACAGTAATAATCAATCACCTCTTGGGTCGGATAAAAGGTTAATTGTATCCATCAATCTATTATGTTGATTGATTTGGTTGACGGAAAAAAAAGTGATTCATGTTTCCTTATTCATCACCATGAAAATCTGAACCTGAACATGTTAACATGATTGTCAAATTGAGTAAATCTGAAAGGTGAAAATGGTGATAAATTAATGACAATTTTTACTAATCAAATATTACTAACAGATATTCCAATAGGATTGAAGGTAATCAAATTGATTGCGATAATTTTGTTCTTGGTGTAAAGTTTTTAATCAACAATTTAGAAAGTAAATAAAAGTTAAACATCTTTAATGTCGGATACAAATTGTCATTTGTTATTAGTTTCCATCGACAATCAATAATAATAATTGAAATAAATAACCATGGGAGGTTTAAATTCATCAGATTTGTTGATGAATTGAAAAGATTTGAAAAGTAACATTGAAAATCAGAGTGAAAGAAACAATAACGATAATATTTACATGGAAAGTTTTTTATTTTGTTCACTCAACAGGGAAACTTTCATTTCATCTGAATCTTTTTCTGATTCATTCTCAGAATTTTCATCATGTCAATTTGTATTCATCAATCTATCAGATTGACCTTACAATACTCTGGTTGACAATCATCTTAATCATAACTGATTGGGATATATGAATAGTTGATTATATTCAATCTCGTGGGTTTTGTAGTAATTGTAATTGGCTGTCATTTGATTGACCTTTAAGACCTGATTATTTTTGGAAAATTATTATTATTAATATTAAATATTATATAAATTCAATTTAATTGTCTCGACGTTGAACTTTAAAATTGATTAGTAAATTTTCATCTAGCTGTTAATCATTATTATCATTGCCTCGGGGTAGATTTCAACTTTAAGTGGTGAGAAATTTTCATGAATAAAATTCATTTACTTTATATTAATATAAGAGAATGGTAATTGATTAATCTAATTAGTTGATCAACAGATTTGATTATTACAGAGTTAATAAACTTGCTCCATTGAAATCGTTTATTAATAGCTTAATTATTCAATGATCAATACGAGACAATTATCATAAGTTAGTAAATAATTAAAATTTCATTTGTATCATCGTCATTTATATTGATGTAATCAACTAATTGTCAGATATTAAAAGTACTCACAATTAGTTCAACTGGAATTGAAAGAAAAATTTATCTAATATGTAACTATTACTTGGTTTTGCCTTTTCAAATGTCTCGCTATCATTAAGTTAATTGTAGTTAAATCAAGGGCCATTAACCATCAACACTAGACATTCAAACTATGATATTTAACTTTAAATGTATTCAGAATGATTTAGTAAATTGTTTCTTAAATACTTCCGGGTCAACATTGGAATTAGTTTCCGGAAAAGATTCAACTTGTAATTGTGAACTAAAAAACTCTCAAATGTTAATAGAAACAAAATTTACTAAATCATATCAAATGTATTCAGTAAATAAAATAGTTTCATAAATTACTAAAAAAATGATAAATTCTATAAGTAAAACTAATAATAAATAGTTGGAGAAAAAAAATCGAGAAAATTTTTTCTCTTCTACCAAATAAAAGATTCAAAAGACGCGCTGAATTTCAAAGAAACCCAAGAGATTGAAACTCTTACGTGTTTAGTGTTGATGCTTCAGTAGATTTTGTTTTCATCTTGTTTGCAAATTGATTTACTTTTAATTGTTGATTAGGTCGATTTTTCTTTGTTAAATTTACATTTGTTCTCTTTTATGGTGACTCATTTTCTCAATTAGACTGTGTTGATCTCTTTTTCTCCATCAAAATGAATACTTTTCTCGCTCGAACCAATGCTGTGTTTGCTTTCGCTTTAAGCATCTTGGCTGCTTTGACATTTTTCTGTGCGATGTCAACATCTTACAAGAAATATGGTGATCTAGTTCCGATTAGAATTTCAACTTCCCGAGAATCTGTTCGTAATTTACCCAACTACCAGGCTGGAAGGGAAACCTGTGACCTGGGGATGCTTAACTTTGACATGGACGCCGATTTTAGTCAAGCCTTTGATTGGAACACCAAACAACTTTTCCTTTATCTTACTGCTCATTATACGACACCGGCTAATGTTGTTAATCAAGTTGTTCTTTGGGATCACATTTTATTACGTTCACAGAATTCAAAGTTATCGCTAAAGAATCATAATGTTAAATACTATTTCTGGGATGATGGTCATGGGCTTAAGAATAATCCAAATGTTACCCTTACCCTTTCCATGAATGTTATTCCAAATGCTGGAATGTTACCGATTTTCTCTGTACCCAAAACTCATACATTCTCGTTTCCTTCAAGTTATACCCATTAATCGATTAGTCAATTAACTTATTTGCAATTTTGTTTCTTTTCTCTATCTTCCATTTTCCAATTAATCTCATCTTCAGATTGTATCATCTATTTTGTAACGAGAAGAAAAGCAAAATTAGGAAGAATAAATTTTTACCCTTAACTACATATGAAAATGGTTCCAATTGATTGTGGTGATTTCGATTAAATCAAACAGAATCTTAAGTGTGTAGAAAAGAGAGAAAATTGTGTGTGTGATTGTTTTGATTAAAAACGCGTGTTGGCTATGGGTGAATGGGGAAAAAGTAACTGGAGGAAAATTGTTGGATTCTCAAAGCATTTTATTTACCAAAAAAAAGTTTGATAATCAGAAATTATTATTATATAAACAGATTATTGAACTTCACCAGCAACAGTGTTACGTGTATAGATGATTTGAGAATGATGTTTAATCACTTGTTTAATTAATCCTTTACTAGCAAGTTCCTCCAAGGCTTTTCTTGCAAGTGATCCTCTAATTTTCATTCTTTCAGAAACAACTGAAGGAGTGATAAGTTTGTAACTAGGTACTTCTTTCAATAATTTATCATAAGTGGCTTTATCAAACAGAACCAAATTGTTTAACTTATCTCGGACTTTTCCTTTTGACCATTTCTATAAGAGAACAGAATAGAAAGAAAAGACAAAAAAACAACATACAGATTAGTGATAACTCAAGTAGATAAAACCAAATACAAATTTACAACCACATGGAATTTACTAAATTCAAATAGACCAGCAAATTCACATCCAATTGTGAACCAAAATATTAAATAATAATCAATATCAATTAAATTAAATTAAATTAATCAACAAACCTTTTTCTTGGCCTTTCCTCCTCCTCCTTCCTTTTTCTTAGGAGCCTTAGTATCAGTTTTTTTACCAGCGTCTTTTTTAGGTGGCTAAAGGTAACACAGAGAAAACAAGAAAAGACACAAATTAAACCAAAAACAATCAAAAGATGAAAATAAATTAACAAATAGATTAATTAAAAAGAATAGGACAATTTACTTACCATGATGATTAAATTAACCAACTAAAGAAAACAAAAGTCAACACTTATTTCAAAAGGAAACGGAAACTGAGTCAATCGGTAACCAAATAGAATACATGTAGCGCCATCTAGAGGTATGAAAGTGAACGAAAATCAGCGCTCAATTCGAATTTCAAAAGATTCGAGGCTGGAAAAGTAAAGAGAAATTTTTTTCTCCAAGAGGAAAACCAACTCAATGGACCAAAAATATTTTGTTCACCCTTACGGGGATTCGAACCCCGGACCTTTGGATTAGAAGTCCAACACGCTATCCACTGCGCTACAAGGGCTCGCTGATCATTTGATCAATTTACCGTGATAAGAGGGCGGGGATCAATATTTTACTCTAATCGGTCAAGTTAATTGGAAAATTTTCCTTTTAATTAAAATTATTAATCCAATTTTTTTTTCTAAAGTTTCCAATGGAAAATTGAACAGATTTTCAATCTCTGTGTGAATTAATTTATTCTAATGGGATAACCTTTGCATCAGTGTTTTCAGTTATTGATTAGATGATTACAATTTGAGTTTATCGATTGGTTAATTTAATCGATCGACGATTAGATAATGTTAATTGTTGTTGTTTTCTCTATGTCATTGAGAAGCCTTTAAGGTAAATTTTCAATAAATCGATAAATTTTTTTTCTCCAATATTAACATGATCGAAATAATCTCATTAATGAACGGATCTTTTTCTCATCTGTTGTATTATTTTGATGTTTTTTTTTACTCTCCTGGAGGATTTTGTGTTGATTCAGTTGCTGTTTTTTGATTGTTAATTGTATTTGTGAATTTTCATCGTCATGTTTTAATAGCTTATGTAACATGTACATAAATGTGAGAAACATTAAATTAATATTTGCTTGTTTGTTGTAAGATTAAATGTAACAAAGTTTTTCAATCCAACAAATACTCTACCAAATCAGCTAAGGGGGTTTATGGAAAAGTAATTAAGGTAAATATGATTAAGGTTGATTGATGATTGGGAGACAAAAAGAGGATAAAATTGGAATTGATAGATTTGTAGGAAAGAAAAATAAAGTTTTTGTTTTTGCACAAAAATGCACACAGATCTTGGATTTGATTGTTATGTGAATGAAAAAAAAAGGGTGAAAGGTTAACAATTTAGCAGTGAAGATGTGAGAGATTTGAAAAAGAAAACAATATTAAAAAGAGAAATTATTCTGCATGAGATTCTGAGAGTGGATCGATTTTTCCATTGTAATGAAATTGATATTGTTCTTGTTGTTGATTGTAGTAGTTGCTGCCATAATGTAACATCTACATTGTCTTGGTTATTGTTGAAAACAAAGTGAGAATGAAAAGAAGATGAAAAATGATTTGAATGGCAGGAAGATTAGTCATCAATAAAAAAGAGAGATGGTCACTTGTATAAAAAAAGAGAAGAAGAGTGGATAAGAAAGGAAAAGAAGAGAAAAGTTTGTGAGTTGCTGATGATGGAAAAGAGATTCACTGGCAATCTTGAGAGAGAAATTGTAAATAAAATCTTCAATGATTGTGATGAGAAAAAAATAACTTGAATGTGTGTGTGGCTGGAATCGAGTGATAAATTTGATTGTTGTGAGACAAAGAGAAGAAAATTTTAAACGAATGTAATTCTATTCGTAAAGATGAGATCAATGAGATGTTTCCTTTTCGAGCCATCCTCCTGGATTTTTTCGGATAACTGCTTTTCTGGATTCATCATAAATAAATATAGCTAAGGCGAAAGGTAATCCAATGAAACACCAAGTGAAACTAAAGAAAGAGATAATTAATACACAATTAAAAGTCTAAACTTAATTAGCAATCATTTCAACTTACTCAATTGGATACATTCGGACAACGATGTGCGTACCAGGGAAATAGACAAGTAGAACAGCGATGATTGTTTCAAATAGTAAGGAAAAGTTGAGAACATGATTTCTATTGGAAAAGGAGAAAACAATTCAAATTTGATTAGAATGTCATGTCAATGATTAATCTTGCTAAGAATTTTGGAATATACCTCATTCCTTGCTGGAAAATTGAATTCCGCTGAGTTTTACAAATCAGTAAATTAGCCCATTGGACAACGATAATTGTGAAAAAGAAGGTTGTATGGCAAGTGTATTCTAATATCTTTCGTCGTTGATAAGTCTAGAGATGGAAAAGATAACGAAATTGTCACAATTAAAAAGTCTTATTTCTAATCATAATTAGTAGTTATTTTGACTCACCCATTCTTGACCATAAGAATCCTCTAGATCATTCAATGCATCAGAGTTCCACTCTCTTCTTATACCGAGCAATGTACTTAACCACCAACCATTTTGATACATGACAACAAAATAGGAAAATAAACCAGCAGAAGCTTGAATAGCACCGATTTGAAAATAAGACATAGCAATTAGATTTGAATTGATTAGTCTATCAGTTTTTGGATCTCTAGGTGGACGTCTCATAAGATCATGTTCGGGTTCCTCATTGGCCAGAGAAACGGCAGGAGCCAAATCGGTGATTAAATCGATGCAAAGAATTGCAAGAATTCCTATTGGTAAAGGAATTTCTAAAAGCACGAAAAACAGGAAAGGAATCAATTCAGGCATGTTACTAGTCAGTAAATAGCCGATAGATTTTCGCAAATTATCGAAAACTAAACGACCTTCCTCAACACCAACCACAATAGTTGCGAAATTATCATCTAACAATATCATGTCTGCAACTTGTTTACTAACATCACTTCCAGTGACTCCCATTGCAATTCCAATGTCTGCTTGTTTCAAAGCTGGTGAATCATTAACACCATCACCTGTTGCACCAACAACGGCACCAGTTCGTTGACAACCTTCAACGATTGCTAATTTTTGCTGAGGAGATGTTCGAGCAAAAACTATTTCATCGTATGTAGTTAAAATTGTATCTAACTCGGGTTTGGTCATTGTTTTCAATTGGAAACCTTGGACAACAATAGCACTTGCAAGTCTACTATCAACTTCTTCGGGTCTAATTTTGGCCTTTTGAGCAAGATCTTCAACCGTTTGATTGCCCTTGGAAATTATTCCAACACTTTTAGCAATAGCCTTTGCAGTAGCTGGATGATCACCGGTAACCATGATAACTCTGATTCCTGCTGATCGGCAACGAGCTATTGCATCGGGAACTGCAGCACGAGGAGGATCAATCATTGAAAGTAAACCAAGAAAACGTAAATCTCGATCGGGGAAATTTTTCTCATCTGGATCAAATAGATAACCAATTGGATATCTATCCTTGGGTAAGATTAAATCACAGAATCCGATAACACGCTCTCCACTGCTGGCTAATTCATCGAGTCGGTCAAGAACCGCATCTTTAATTTCTGGAGTTAAGATTTTTTCTTTTCCTTTAAAATAGATGGTTCTACATCGGTCAAGAACCTTTTCAGGGGCACCTTTCATACAAAGAAGATGATGACCATTGTTTCCATCTCCAATTTCATGAACAGTAATATGAATCTTATCTATTGGATTAAATGGAATCTCACAAATTTTGGAATGTGATTGTCGATAAGAAATAACATCTCCAACTGAAAGCTCCATAAACTTGAGAATCGCTGTTTCAGTTGCATCTCCGGTTGTTTCTCTTTTTAAGATTGGTACAAGATCTTGGTTGGCTTTAAAATCGGCACGAGAACATAACATGGCACATCGAGATAAACTTTTCCATCCTGGTGCTTTTTTATCAAACTGAACTCCTATTAAACAAAAGAGAAAAAGAAATGTTAACAATTACATCCACTGATAATTACTCATCTAACTAACCATTTTGCTCTTCTGTTGTATCAGCTTCAACAACCTGATTGTCAAACCACATATGAGAAATAGTCATACGATTTTGGGTTAATGTACCAGTTTTATCTGAACAGATGATAGAAACAGAGCCGAGAGTCTCAACGGCTTCTAAATTTTGATTAAACAATTTTTTGATACCATTCGTTTGGCAGTTAATGTAAGGCAAATCGTAACTGTGACAAGAAGTCCTTCGGGAACATTGGCAACAATAATGCCGATCAGAAGCATAAAAGCATCAAACCATAAATATCCCATGAAGAAGGCAAACATAAATAGTATGGAACCAATGATGATAGAGATACCGGTCATCAATCGGATGAATCTATCAACTTCTTTGGCAATAGGAGTTTCGGTCAACTCAAGGCCAGACGCAAGGGAAGCGATTCGACCCATAACTGTACGATCACCAGTGTAGATGACAAGACCCCGAGATATTCCTTCAACACAATAAGTAGAGAAAAAGGCGAGATTGGCTGTGGCCAATGGATTGTCTGAGGTCAATTCGTAGCTTCGTAATTGTGGCTCAGATTCACCAGTAAGGTTTGAGTTGTCAACTTTACAACCTTGTGATGAAATTATTCTTAAATCAGCTGGAATACGATCACCGCTTCGGATTTCAATTAAATCACCGACGACCACTTCTTCCACTGGTATGTTGTACTTTTGTCCATTTCGTACAACAGTAGCTGTTTGTGGGACCATTTTACGAAATGCATCCATTAACTTAGCACTTTTAGAATCTTGGTAAAAGGAGAAAGAACCAATGAGTAAAACCACCAGAACAAGTACTATGCAAATGATTAGATTATCGTCGGGAGATGATTGTCCAGCTCTGACCCTTAAAATGAAAGCAATTAATGAGATAAAACCTCCAATCCATAAGAGAAGACAGAAACCACCAAATAAATTACGAGCTAATCGAGACATTGTAGAAACATTTTTCGTTGAAGTTAAAATATTGGGACCATCTTTCAAAAGTAATTCATGAGCTTGTTCAGGAGTCAACCCAAGCTCTGGGTCAGTTTGAAGTTGACCAATCAATATATCCAAAGGTAACCGATGTTCATCTAATTGTATCTCTTGTTTCAATTCGGATACATTTGGTTTCTCTGTCAAACGAGTAGAATCCGTCCTATTGAACCTCAAAGCTCTGGGTCGACCTTCCGGTGTTAAACCATCATCAGGTAAATCAGGACTTACAGCCAATCTGTAGCTTCCTGTTTCCTCGGCCATGTCCACTATTCCCCTCATGACGATTTAGGTTGAAAAATTTATTCTTCCTGACAAGTAAACAAACACAATTTTTCCCCAACGATCCACAGGTAAACAAAAATAATGCTCAAAAATAAATTGAGATAAAAGTCAAAGTAAACAGAATCATAAAGGAAGTAGAAAAATTATTTCGATTGTCCTTTTTTTTCAATTGGTCATCCCACAGGTCAACCTGTGAATAAAGACAGAGAAGGGGAGAAGTAAAAAAAAGAAACATTAGTTTGATGACATGAGAAAGTGGAAATAAAATGCAAAGAAAGAGGAAAAGAAAGAGAAAAAGTAAAGTCAGGTAGGAAAATGGGTGAGGCTTCAGAGTCAAAGTTTTTTCTTCACGGAAGAAACGTAATTTTTCAAATTTACAATATTTGGAACTGAATCAAGGTCAATACTCACTTTTTATCCAACAGTTATTAACCAGACTCATTAGTAGAGTCGTTGGGTGAACAATACAATGGACTAATTAATTGTGATCACAATGGTTTTTAAATTAACTTGGCGGGAGAGAGAGAGAGAGAACAGAAATTTACAGGTACTGTAGTGTTGTGGAAGGTAATAAATATGAGACAGGTAATAGTAACTAAGTGAGTTGAGTGAGAAGGAGAGAGAAAAAAGTTTACGGTTGCTATAAACAGAGAGAGGAAACAAACAACAGGTAATACCTGCCACCTATAGGAATGTATTCATTTCTGGTTAATTTTGACAACAATTTGACTTCTAGTTGGATAATCAGGAGAAAAATTGTCACAATCACAAATGTCACAAAAGAAAATTATAGTTGAGGTGAATCACGTTAACAGGCCAAAGATGTCAAGTCAAGATTGGGACAATTCAATTACTCAGATAGATGATTGTTATCTCTACGTTATCATTGAAATAATTGAATAAATTAACAACTTTCATGGTTCATCAATCTGTCAGGTAACAATCATTTTCATGAAAATTTGAATGGATAAAGGAATAAACCAAGACGATGATTAGACACAACCAGAAAATTGATGAATTTTTGTTTTTGGGTTAAGTTCATTTTAGGCTTTGAATTAACGACATCGAAAATACCACCATCACAATTAAAGCTTCAATTGCAGATTCACCAACACAAATAACATGTAAATTGATCACTTAAATCACCAAAATCTGAATAAAAAAAAACATAATCATCAGCTTAACAAAATAGTCTAAATTTTAGATTAACAGGATTAGCAACAGCTGATTAGAAAGGACTAATAAATTTTACCAAAAATTCATCAATCACAAATTACTTTACATAAGTACGAAAAAAAAATCAATACTTTACCTTGGGAGAAGAAACAATTAATCAACAAAAATGATCATCGATTGATTGAAACTGACAATTAAATCAAATTGCTGAATCTTAATTACAGTTAAGAAAAAAAAATCTCTCATTTAATTATCCAAACACTTGACCAAACGAAATTGTTTAAAAAAAATGTCAACAATTAAACCTTGACAACCAAATCCCTTCAATTAACAAAACGAAAAAAAAAATTAATTGTCAAGAGAATTAACTAAACTAATCAAAGATGAAACAGTTAACCAGCTTAATGAATGTTCACAATTAACAATTTGAATTTTCCTTCTTCAAAATTGTTCTATTCTCTTTTCTCTTTCTTTCTCTCTTTCTTTTTTGTGTTCCCTCTTTTTCCCCTCTGACTGCGTGTCACATATGAGAGAAAGTTGATCAATTCTCTTTTCTTTTGCCTTTTCAATCAATTTACTCTTTTTATTAATCATTGATTATTGTAGAATTAATTAATTTAGCTCATGTTTTTACTAATTTTTAAACTCTTTTCTTAATCTACGTCTACAATAATCTCTTTATCCAAACAATCATTTGGTTAATTCACTCAAAGAGATTATCCCAGGTAAGATTTTCTTCAATTGGTTATTCCTTTTCATTTTTTTTCTTCTTCTTCTCTCCAATCAATCTGTTTGTGTTGATCAATTTGTTTGATACATTTGATGTATTGTTCCGATTTTAATTATCCAACGTTGACTTTTTTTCTCTTCTTATATTCATCTTCTATTTATCTTCATCTTCCTCTGTTTCAACTTGTATTCGTTTCTGGTTCCCATTCTTGAATTCCATTGGATTGTTTTCTTATTTTTTTTTTGGTTCTTCTCCAAGCTCAGTTGTTTCTCGTTGAAAGGTGAAAATATCACAGTCACAATATATCAACAATTAATATAAATCAAGATGAATAATTTTGTCCAAAATGGGCTTCTACCTAAACTCGAGGATACAGTTGATAAGGTTGGTACCTCTTCTTTTTCCTTATGTAATTTATTTCGCCAACTTCCCTATCAATTTGTGTTCTCTATTTTTTTTCTAAATTCCATTCTTATTCTATTAATATCAATTGTTCTAATTTACATATTTTCTTTAATTTCTCTTTCTCTTGCTTTTTTCCACCTCAGGTTCTTCGCCATTCCAAGCATATTTTACCTACATTAGCTCGTGCGTGTTTAATATCTACCTTTATTGAAGATGGTATCCGAATGTATATCCAATGGTCAGAACAACGAGAATTCATGAATATGTCATGGGGTTGTGGTTATTTTCTAGCGACCATGTTTGTCCTTTTTAATCTTGTTGGCCAATTAGGGGGATCAGTTATGGTCCTCATTCGATATCAGGTCCCATATGCCTGTTTCTTATTATTCTTAATCATTGTTGTTCAGGTTGGTATCCATCAATACATGTAATCGAGTTAATTTCAAACTTGTTGTCTAGTGTACGTTTTTTTGTTGTTGTTACTCGTGTTAAAAGTCATCATACATTTTTAACCTTGGTGATATTGTGATACAATTTGAATAATTTTATCTACAATTAGGTGTATACATGTACAAATGTTCATCTAATAGGAATAGATTCTGTCAGATTCTATTGAGATCTTATCGATTAAGAGAAAACACTTGAAGTAGCAAATCTGATGACGATGGTTAATTGATAAAGCTCAATTTTCTTCTTTTTTTGCTCATTTCATTTAATATCTTTTTTCTTTTCCTTATGTTTATCATTAACTTTTTTTCTTCTTCTCTTTTCTTTCTTCTCCAGACAATTGGTTACAGTATTCTTTGGGATCTACCTTTCCTATTAAGAAATTTATCTCTTTGTGGTGCTGTATTACTATTGTTAGCTGAATCCAAACAAGAAGGGAGAAGTTTATTCGCTGGTGTGCCAACTCTTGATGAAAATAAGCCCAAAAATTACATGCAACTATTGGGACGAATTTTACTCGTTTTCATGTTCATTACTGTTCTTAGATTTGAATTCAGTCTTTTACAATTTATCCAGATTCCAGTAGCCTGTTCACTCATGATTCTTGTAACTGTTGGCTACAAAACCAAATTAAGTGCATTCGTCCTGGTTTTATGGTTAACAGGACTTAATTTCTGGTTAAATGCCTGGTGGACTGTTGATTTACACAAATCAGTTCGAGATTTTCTTAAATACGATTTCTTCCAAACACTTTCCGTGGTTGGAGGTTTACTCATGGTTGTTTATCTTGGTCCCGGAGGTGTTTCCATTGATGATTACAAGAAACGTTGGTGATTATCTAAAGAGAATTGAAAAATTCTTGAAGGCAGAAAAAATTTATTAAAACAAAAAGAAAATGAAAAACGAAAAAAAACGAAAAGAAGATTAAAAAAAGTTATTGTTCAAGAAAAAGTAATGGAAGCGAAAACCAGAAAGATTATCAAAGTGAATTTACTGATTGAAAAATCGAGATCTAAATCACCAGAGGATAAGAAGAAGAGTTTAATTTGAAAGCCACAAAAAGAAACAAACAACAAATAAATTAATTTTTATATCAAGAAACAAATCACAATTAAGGTAATATACAAATCGCGATTCGTACAATCCAATCACAGAACAAATTTATACTTCATCCATGTGGATCTCTTATAATTTTTCACCAAAACAATTAACTAATTCAATTAAAACAGTTAAACAGATCGATGAACAAATCAGTCCTGGTATTGAATTGGATGTAATTGTGTTCATATCAAAAGAAACAATTAAGAAAAAAACTTCCATCTCATCTCTCTTCAGTTGATTTGCCGACCCAAAGTTACAGTTGAAAAGTAGCAATTAGCTGATTAGATTTTAATTGTTCACTTGTGGATCGATCAATAATTAGAAGCCACAAGAATAATTTATGATTAATCCAATTTTCCATTTGTTTACTATCTGTGTCAAGAATTTGATTATAAAAATTGAATCTATTGATTGATTGAATTGTTAATCTTTTTCAATTAATTGTTGAATTGAATCAAAATTTTTTACCTCAATTTCATTAGTTGACTAATTAACTCACAGATGGAGCAGTTTGTCAATGTGAATTCCATTAAGAAAGTAACGCCATCTACCAGCATGGAAAAGTATAAATTAATTGTTGCAAATGATTAAAAGGATAAATTAAATAATAGTTTAATCTGATTTCTCAATAGCTTGATTATCTTTCATTGATGAATAATTGTTAACTATTATTGCCCTTTGAACACTGATTGTACAATAAAACTTTACACTTTGTGATAACATAATTTAATCTGATGAATGATTTAAAGCTCCAATTAAATGAAAATCAATAAATCATTTTATTATTAATAACAAAATTATTCATCTAAAAGGATTTGACTAGTTTTAACCATTGAAACAAATACAAAATCAAATTACAATATAAACATGAATTCCGATAATTAATTAAATTGTCTGGAAAAGTATCTCATTGGTTTGACTTTTGTCTCTAAAAACTATTCTTACTAATTAGCAATCAACTGATTGTTGAACAGATAAATTTAGTATCCACGTAATAATCACCTGATTTACTATTGATGACTTGGCAAATTAATCTAATCAGATTGTCCAATTAAACTTTAAAACCATTTTTAACCTCACCCAACAGGTTAGTCGTTCTGATGATTAACCAGAATCTAAATTTAATCAATCAAACAATTAAAGAGCAACAATTAGAAGCTGAGAACTCTTAAAATCGATATTCTCTAATAAATTGAAGTCAAAAACTCACAAAATTCATCAAACTGATTTTCTAAGCGTCCAATTATCAAAATTCAAAATTAAGATTTCATTTACAATCTAAAATATTAGTTACCAATCAACGAGAATGAAGAAGAAAAAATAATTAATTTTGAATCGAATATCAAAAAATCGATTTTACGTTTCGATCAATCGATAAATCGATCGTTTTGGTGCATCAACTCACTGAGTTGAAATCAATTTTTTCATTCGCGAGAGTTTCATCTAATTAAACGGTTTTAAGTCTGTTAATTGTTATCCAATTTTAATTCAATTAACTTTAATTGTTTGACTAATTGTTCATCTAATTCAATAGAAAAATGATCATCTCCCGTTTAGCTCGAACATCTATTCAATTACAGGTGAGAAACAAATGTTCTTTTCTTTTTTACCCTTAACCTCAACCTTTTTTATTCTATTCTATTCTCTTCTGTGTGTCTGCCTGTCTCTCTCTCTCTCTCTCTCTCTCTTGACCTTCTTCTCTTGCCTTAATAATCTTTATTTCTACTATCTTCATCTTCATCTTTATCCTCATCATCCTTATTTTCGTCGTCATCTTTTTTTCGTTTTACATGTTCTTTTTATAAATTCTTAATTTCTTCTAACTCTCATTCTATTCTTTCATTTTTTTTGTTATATTCTTTCATAGAAAAACCGACCGGTTATTGCTGTTCTGTCCACCAGAAATGCATCTTCATCTGTAAGTATTTTTAAATTGATGTTCCATATTATTTTATAATCTTGGATCATCTTGATTTAACCTCTTTTTGACCTTGTTTAATCTATTTTACCGCATCTTTTTTTTATTCTTTTAATCATTTAACCTTTTCAGTATAATTAGCTAATCAAGCTTATCTTTCAATGATTGTCTGATCCGGGTTTCTTTCCGTTTTCTTTTATTATTTTTTCTTAATTCTTTTCTCTTCTAGGAGCTTAAAGATATTGTTGGTGCAAAGATCAGCGAGCATGCCAAGAAAGTTAAAAATTTCCGAGCAGCCTATGGTAGTAAGGTTGTTGGTGAAGTTACCGTTGACATGATCTATGGTGGAATGAGAGGAATCAAAGCTCTTGCTACTGAAACCTCATACTTAGATCCTGAAGAGGGTATTCGATTCAGAGGTTATTCTATTCCTGAGTGTCGTGACCTTTTACCCAAAGCTCCAGGTGGTGATGAACCTTTACCCGAAGGTCTATTTTGGCTTTTATTGACCGGTGAAGTGCCAACCACTGCTCAAGTTAAACAATTATCAAAAGAGTGGGCTGCTCATGCTGATTTACCTTCTCATGTAGTTACAATGTTGAATAATTTTCCAGCTCATCTTCACCCAATGTCCCAATTTGCGGCTGCCGTCACTGCCTGTAACACTGAATCTGCTTTTGCTAAAGCTTATTCAGAAGGTGTTCATAAATCAAAATACTGGGAATACACATTTGACGATGCAATGAGTTTGATCGCTAAACTGCCAACAATTGCTGCCACCATTTACCGTAATCTTTATCGTGATGGTTCATCAATAGGAGCTATTGATTCGAACAAAGATTGGTCAGCTAATTTTGTTGATATGTTAGGTTTCAAGGATGAAAAATTCACTGAATTGATGAGATTATATCTCACCATTCACAGGTAATTATCATTGTGTATTATAAAAGTGTTACATGTTTTCTCCTTATCATCCTTTTTCCCTTCCCTCTTTTTCCTTTTACAACTTTACCATTCTCATTACTACTCACCTGATTTATTTACAATTGTATACTCATTAGTATTCTTTCTTTTTCTTGTTATTTTCCATTTATTTCCATCATCAATATCTTTTTGTGATCATCATTCAGTGATCATGAAGGAGGTAACGTAAGTGCTCATGCCGTTCATCTTGTCGCTAGCGCTTTATCAGATCCATACCTTTCATTTGCTGCTGGTATGTGTGGTCTTGCCGGTCCACTTCATGGTCTCGCTAACCAAGAAGTATTGATTTTCATCACCAAAATGCAACAGCAATTAGGTGATAACCCATCTGAACAACAGATTACCGATTTTTGCAAGAAAACCCTTGCATCAGGACAGGTTGGTTTACCATTTTTTAATTCAGTTGATCTTTTTTTTTCCTTGCTGTCATTCAATTGTTCACTTTTGTAATTTAATCTCTTTTAACCAATTCATTTCAACATAGGTTATTCCTGGATATGGTCATGCTGTTTTACGTAAAACTGATCCTCGATACACAGCGCAACGAGAATTCTGTCTCAAACACTTACCAGACTATCCAATGTTCAAATTAGTCTCAACAATTTACAAAGTTGTTCCTCCCATTCTCTTGGAAACTGGTAAAGTTAAGAACCCTTGGCCAAATGTTGACGCACACAGCGGTGTCATCCTTCAGGTAGGGAGAGAGAAAAAATTGATAAATAGTTACAGTAATTATTAGTAACTTGACTGATAATCAATTTACGTAGATTAACGTCAATGTTTCATTTCCATTAATTAATATTTTAATTTTTCTTTCCTTATTTATCATAACAGTACTTTGGTCTTAAAGAGATGAACTTTTACACTGTTCTTTTCGGAGTATCTCGAGCTCTTGGAGTTACCGCTTCAACGGTCTGGGATCGTGGACTTGGATTACCCATCGAACGCCCCAAATCAATGACTAGCGAAGGTTTAATGAAGATGGTTGGTGCTTCGTAAATAATTTACATGACTATAGATTAGAGAACAATAAAAAGAAATCAATAAATTATGATTTAAAGCTATACCATTAACTATTAAACATAATCACCCAGTACACCAATGCCACAGAATCATCAATAACATCAACAACCAGCAGCCTAAAGAAAAGTAATTTAGAAGCCAATCAAGGATAAACCCGTCGCAGAATCTATTCTCTTCCTCTCTCTTTCTCTTTCTCTATCTCTTTTCTTTCTAAATCTCAATCTCTCACAAACCATTATATCTCCCTCTTTTCTCTCTCTCTCTCTCGTTACCTTTCTCTTTTTCTCACTCCTTCACTTTTACCATCCTCTTTCTCCCCATTTTTTTTCTGTCGCTTTTTCTATCCCACCCCAAGTCTATTCAAAAGGCAGTAAATTATAATTTTAAGCTTCTACAGCAGAGGAAAAAAAATTCACTTCTCCACTTAATTGTCGTAAAAATTTATCAGATCTTACCGAAAACTGAGATTCTTTGTAAGAAACAAAAACACATTACGAATAATAACATCTAAATGAACTATTATAGCAATACGAATATGATACAACTGAACATTATTATTAATAAACTCAAAAGAAAAATGAAAATGTTGATTTGCAAAAATAAGCCCACGATGAGGATTGAACTCATGACCCCTGGTTTACAAGACCAGTGCTCTAACCACTGAGCTACATGGGCGATTCCTATAAATCGAGTCTTGATTAACTGACCAAACACTAGGCTTTACTAAAATGAATCCTGGAAAACCGTTTCGATTAACTGTCTAATCAACTAAATGAGAAGGATAAACAAAAAATTAACCAGCATAATTTATAGAATCTCATTAATTTCTATCAACACTAATATCTCAATATTTTATTCCTCATATTTCAATTGATTTGAAAATATTAAATTTCAATAACAATCGATTAATTTGATTTGGTTGCAAACTAATCATTGAAACTTTGTAACAAAATCAAACCAAAAAACAAAAGCAACAAGTAAACAAACTGCTCGAAATTAATTAGTGTCAAACATAAAACTGATTAATAATCAGAAAATCGAATGAAAAAAAATCAAGATTTCGACAAAGGACTCACCCATAATTGTGAACAATTAACGAGAAGAAAAAAGCGATTAAAAGATTCACCAAACTGTCAACATTAAAATAAAGAATTAATATCCATTCAATGAGTAATAATCTTGCAAAAAAGTAATTAACTACTAAAGATGATAGAAATTAATTAATCAATTAAAAAGTTGAAAACTCGAAGCAAATTAATGAGATCAAATTTTATGGTGGAAAAAAGTTTCACACAAACGACCAAGAAAATTAATCGAAAGAAATAAAAATTCTATTAATAAACAAATATTGAATTGGCTTTTACCTCAATCATAATTAGTAAATGATCGTCTAATTGTTCATCTATTTCCTCGTTAATTAAAGTGAAAGAATATTCAATTAGCGATTATCTTGGCGCTTCTTTTTCTTAGCAACAATAAAAAAACATCGTAACTACGCAGACGTAATTTCACTTCTCAATGTTTTGGTTTCTCTTTATTTCTGTTGATTTTCACTTCATTTTCCTGATTTCAATCGTTCTCAATTCTCTATCGGCAAATAATCCACCTTGTAGCCTGTGAAAAATACTAATTGTGACTAGAGGACAACAAGAATATAATTTGTATTTAGACCCGAATAACAAGCCAACTGTGGATAAACATGGGACGCAAAAGTAAAGTAAGTAAACAAACATGGTCGCAATGACTAAATAACAGAAATAATAATCAACTGATTTTCTCTTACAACTCAATTTGTAGACAGTTGAATTTCCGTCAGGTCAATCAAGCGACGATACGAACATCAATCGCTACGAAGATGCCATTACACGAATGAAACAGGTTTTTGGTGGTGTTCATATTCCTGCAAGTAAGTTGAACAATTTAATTCTGTCTCATTATTATTATGAGCATATGACTAGACAATAATAATCACTTGAAGACAATCTAATCATAACCAATCATTGATCAATTTGATTGTCTATCATTAGATTGATTATCTTGCTGATTATTTTTTTTTATCTTTTCCTTATTAGGATTAAGTTGACAAGTGAATTAAACTTTTCACCTTAAGTTTATTGTTCCCTTGTTTTCAATGACAAATCATTTAATCGTTTAATCAATTGTTACTTTAATCTTGATTAACCTTATCAATTTGTCTTCTACAATCAACAATCAATTTATCGAGACTTTTAAACGACAAACAATAGATGGCGCCCTCAGTTTCGCCAATTTTTAATTCTTTAATTAAAGTTAATTGTTACCAAAATTATTCCTTATTTTGTGATTCTATCATAATTTACTTGATCCGCTAAACATTTTAATCACCAGCAAGACAGATCCATGGATCTTTTCAGCTTAATTGTCGTAATTGTGACAAATTGACTCACTTGATATCAAATTCTAGTATTGATTTCGTCAGATAGATGGAGACACGCAACAGAACGTTTCAGAATTTCAATTCTCTCTCATTATGATTGATTTCTTTTCATTTAGAGTTTCTTATTAACTTGTATCTGAAATTGTCAACTCAATATACAAGAGAAAACTATCTGTTTGTATGATGACCTCTTCTTCAATCCTGAATTGATTCATTGAGTTAATTGTTAGAAAATTGTATTACAATTACTTTCTTAATTGTTATAACTGTGATACTATTAATACAAATAAATAGCCTAAAGTGTTGTCTAGATTTAGTTGGTTTTATCTCATATCAATGTTTAACCTCTGTAATTGTTATTTGATTAATTTGTCTCGATGTCAATCAACCAATCGCATTTTCAATTTGCTTTAATTGTTATAATATTAGTTGAATCTTTTTAACAATAACCATTAATACATCATGATGAAACTAATTGCTTTTGACAGTTGATTTAATCCATCGTGAAACTAAATTAACTAAAGACAATCAACTTATCATTGTAATCATCACAAGATTTTCAACTTTCTTAATGAAAACATTTTACTTAATTACTTTGGATGGAATTAGTTTTGCTCTGCCTTTAATTAGTTTCTAAAATCATTTAGTTACGAAAAAAAAAAGTTTCATTATTATACTTGAAGTAACATTTACTTTTAGAAAACTGTGTTAATTGTAATCTCCATTGATTAACTTTCCAACAACAATTAACAGTACTAAAGAAAAAAGTTATCATAGCCTACGTATTGTGATTAGTAAATTGTGTTTCTTTTTTCTCCCTGAAATTCAGACAATTTACAAAATCAGTTAATAAAAAAACAAAACTTTATTGTTCTTTTAAACAAAAGATTAACTATTGAATCAAATTGTTTGAAAATTAATTCTGTATCATGAAAACTTTACCAACAATTAACCATTTTAATCAATGCATGAACAATGTTGATGATTAATTCTGGTTAGTATTCAAAATTCAATAATGATCATGAAAAAAAGTGATAATCATTATCATCAATTTACATTTCTTTTGATACAAAATCGTTAATTGTTAACTGGTGTTAATTAAATTAATGGTTTGAAACGAAAACTGATTTACATTGAGAGATGATTAGTTGAATTTCATTTCTGAGTTTACTCAGTTTTTGAATTGAACTTTTTGCGCAATTTCAAGAAGAAGATGATGATCATCATCATCATCATCATCTCTCTCTCTCTCTCTCTCTCTCTCTCTCTCTCTCTCGAAAGGTGACTAAAATAACAGAGAGATATAAAGAAAGACTTGGAAGATGATCTTCTTTGTTATCTTCCTCTTTGTATTTCTTTTATCAAGGTTATAACTTTGAAAATGGCTACTGGTCATTACGATGACTGATGATGCTAACTGACCATTTGATTAATGAGTTTCGTATATGATTGAAATGTTACTAATGTTGTACTCTATGGATAACATTGTATTAATTGCTTGAGATTATCATTTAGCTGGTTAATTATAGTAACAATTAGGACGTTACAATTTTTTTTTTACTTACAATTTATAATGTGTAACAAATCAAGGTTATAATTGATAAATTATTTTTCTTGTACTCTTGATATTTAAGCAAAGTGATTTACTAATTAGTAAAGTTTAATCATCGAAAAGAAAATCAATATTATTCTGATATTATTTTTAGAATATTTGTTTTCAATTTGATTAATCGTGATAATTATAAATGTGAAAAGGTTAATCTATTTTCAAAGATAATTGTTAACCTGATTATCCGATTAACTTTAAAAGTTAATGAAATGTTGTATCTTTAATGGATGGATAATGATAATTAACATTATTCTCATCAATTTTTAACCATAATCACCAAGATACTCATGATGATTATTGGGAACAACTGATGATATATTTTTTTTCACAGCTCAGGTGAACTCACTGTTAATATAATCGTAGTAATCATAATGATAATAATAATACTCATGAGAGATGATGAAGAAATAGGATGAGAGAAAAAGGGATAATAAGGTGAAGATAAATAAGAGAATGAAGATGAAGATGATTATGATGATTAGGAAGATCTTAAAAAAAAGACATATAAAAAGACAGAGAAAGAGTGAAAAGTTGTATTCATGAGCAGAGAGCATCCCAAGAATAGATGATGAAAGAAAGTAAGAGAAAGCGAAAAAGAGAGAGAGAGAGAGAGAGAGAGAGAGAGAGAGAGATGATAAAAGGGATGATGATGAGAGTGAGTTTCGTGAGCATAAATCCCATTCTGAATCTGAGTTTGTGCCTGAAACTGAATTGAATTTGTTGTTTTCCATCCTCGCTGTTTACTTCAATTCTCAATAAGCAGAAGAAAAATCCTTCTCATCATCATTATCCTTTCTCTCTCTTTCTCATCGTAAATCCTTACCACTTATCAACAGAATCATCATCATCATCATCATCATTTAAAACTTATTTACATCTTTTTCTCCTCTTCACAAAACCACAATCCTGAAAAAAAGACGAAGAAATTTTCTTTCACTTTTTTCCTTTTACACTTATTATGAGAGGTAGAAAAAAAAGATTAGGATAAAATAGATGTAAACAATTTTCTCATCCCAATCCTATTACCATAAGATTAACTGAGAGATAACAAAGAAAATAACAATCGTTGAGGAAAACCACCTTAATATTGTTCTAACTTGTAAGTTACCCCAAGAAAAGAGATCAACCCAATCGTGAATTTTAAATTTTCCGCTTTTCGTTTTCAATGATCGTTTCTTGTTACCTAATAACTTCATATGAACAGTGAGACAAAAACTTGAACACCTTAACATGAACTTCAAGGTCCAACCTAAAAAAGCCCTCGAGATGTAAACTCACTATTCTATCTTGTTTTTCTCTTCTCTTCTCTTATCATCATCCATCGTCATCATCATCATCTTCTCTCTCTCTCTCTCTCTCTCTCTCTTATAATCATCCCTAGTCTTCAATCTTACTTCATTTCTTATGTATCTCATGTGCTCTTGATTCTATTTCTCTTTGTTTGATTTCTTCATTTCGCTTTTTACTTTTCTCATTTTCCATCCAAAACAAAAATTAAACGTATTCAACTTTTCATGACTGTCTTTGTGTTTAGATTCAATATAATCAACTAATTGTCAACAATCAAATCTCTTCATTTGTTTGCTCCAAATTTTCATCAATTGGTTTCATTTTGTCTGTGTGTTTGTGTCTTTTCTGGTATCAACTCAACCCTTTTACAATCTCCATGTTATTTGATTACTACATTCATAGTAAACTGATTGATTAATTGTCCAATTGATTAAAATTAATCAATATATATATATTATATAATATCTACACCTTTATTTTTTATCTATAAAATCAAATATCAATATGATATTTGATTGTTACAACGGTGCTTAAGCTGTCGAGTTTTCTTGATCAATTTACTCTGTGTGAATCTGTTGTGTGATTAATTAATTGTGATAATTATTATTAGATTTCTTCCCGTTCTATTTTCTTCATCGATTGTTACAAGTATTTTTCCCTTATTGCGGTGCTAATAATCAAATAAGTTGATAATAATATCAATGGCTTACGATTCAAAATCATCGATTGGTCGGTCATCTGAGGTGAAATCAAGCGATTATGGTTTGACCAATTCACCTTTGCCCCATCGATCTGCCTTAAGATATGCTAATCGAGCAAACACTTTACCAAGATCCAATCGGATTCTAGCCGGTACATTAAGTAGTCCATTAACTCAATCATCATCATCGTCCAGTAATAATAATAATAATAATAAACCATCATTGTCCAGTAATGATCAACAACGACCTCCAAGTTCAACCGGATCTACAAGTGTAGCATCATCTTCACCCTGTTCAATAATATCTGATAATGAAATTGCCGAGACTCGATCCCATGGGTCAAGTCCACTTCCCTCCAATTTGGTCAATATTAATAATAATAATATTGATTCTAAAAATCTTTCCCCAGTGACAGTGTCCATTTCACCAGCACCCAAATCTCCTGTGATGCCTTTTCGTGTCTCATCTTTACATAAAGGATTAGCTAAATTAAGTCTTCGACGTCGCCATGCATCAGGCCCAATAACACCAACCGATGGTCAAAATTCATCCATTGGTCATCATCATTCTCTATCTTCTTCATCTTCCCGTTATCTATCAACAACACCACCTCTTTCACGTTCATCCACTCGAGATAATTCACCAGTTAATTGCTCTTTACTCCAACGAAATCTCATCTCATTATCAAATATTGCTAATAAGAAAGGTATATCTTGATTATCATACAATTCTAGGTTAATTGTGTTCATCGTCATTACTTTTAATTATCACTCATTAGTTAACCTTATTTAGTACTTTTATTCATGTTCTCACTCATTTATCTCTTTCCATGATGATCTAAATTCAGTTAATTTGCTTTTATCTCTGGTCTTTTCTAATGACAATTTGATAAATCACATTCAACACGATTACTATTCTAATCCTATTCTCGTCTTTATTTTATCACTAATCACATCTAATCCTTCATCTAATAATCTAATGATTGTCAATCATTACACCAATTCGCTAATTGTATTTGATTGGTGATTTATTTTCCGTAATCAGATTGATCTCTTTACATTAGAAAAAACTTTCAAACTCGTTATACAATTAAACCATTTGTTTATGTTTAATTTTCCACGATAATCAAATGTTTCCCACAACAATTGATCAACAATTTAGGTAATACATTAGTTAATATAATCTACTCAAATCAATACAATAACCTGAAACTTATCGATAGTTAATTGATTGTCGATTCAAATTACGATTCTAATCATGTCTCTATTTTTTTCTCAAATCTTTGATCATAATTAAAAATTTTCTCAGTTTCTTAATCATTTTCATTAATCAATATCAACTCTTGGACAATGATGTGACACTTAATGATAAAGTTATGATATTAATAATGTTGATTATTTGATTTGATGATCGTTGAATTATGTATGACCAATCAATTGATTGAAATAATCAATTGAATTCATTTACCAATATAAATTGAGCATAGAAACCAATCAACAATTGATTTTTAGGTTATAATATTTTGCACAATTAGTATTTTGTTATGATTTAATCAGTATGTAAATGGATCTTAACAGTTACTACATTATTTCAACTTAATTCATAAAGTTAATTGTAACTCTCACTGATTGTTAATAATAATCACCAAATTGATTGTTGCTCATCAATTGTTGATTAACTATGAGAAAAGGTAAAAGTGAATCTATTCACTGTATTGAAAATGATTAATCAATGAGTGAAACATTTACCAAGACAATTAAGAGAAATGGTTTACAATTAATTAGGTGATTAAATTAATGATAAAATTTATCGATGATATTATTGAATAGTTACTATTGATTTATTCTTAGACCAACAATTAAGTTGATTGCATTTGATTAGTCAGTAGATTGTGTAAACATTAATTCATTTTCATCATCAAATAAGTTAATCAGATTAATTGAAAATTGTTAAAATGAGTTTCCTTATTACAATAAAGTTGATTGTTATTTGTATTGATAAATGCCCTCAAGCAATTGATAATCAACCACATTATTATAATTTATTATAATGACAATTTTTTATTTACACTAATTACAATCCGATAGGTTAAACTGATTGTTGATTAATCAATTGTAATGGTAACTTTGAATTCCAATCAATTCTTGCAATTGTCTAATCACACCATTGAATACTACAATTAACCATCACACTGATTATGTCTTCATCTAGAAATTTTCACTAATCAATTAAAATTGATTAGTAATTAAAATAAAGATAATTTCGCTGTAATTATCTAAAAACTTTTTGATTTATTGATTTTCACAATTTAGTTAAACTCTCTAATGTATCCATAACTTTGATAGGAAAATTGAAAAGTTTTCAACTAATTAAATTATACTCTGTTACTTGTAATCATTTTTAAATTAATGACCAACAATTAAGCCTTTTACAGTAGGACAGTTTCAACTACTTTAATTTGATTATGATGATAGTTAATTAACTTGCCAATTTGTAAGAATCCATAATGAACCCTAATTTTCCGGCTCTACTATTGGTAACTATTAATATTTGTTAATTTCCATAGACTTTGATGTAAATTTAATTGCTATTCAAATGCTAATGAAATTATCAAATCTTAATAAAATGTAATTACAATTAAGTCAAAAAAACATCAAATTTATTAATAGTAACAATTGAAAACTTATATCATTAGGATTCAACTCTTACCTTTATCATCACTCTTACGTGACTATGCAATTTCATGATGATTATTTCATGATGATGATGATGATTAAATGTAGGAAATGATTAAAAAGATGCTAAATTATCATCATCATCAACAACAACTTAATCATGATGATCAAAGTCATTCCATTAATAATTAGAAGTTTACAAAAAATATTATCAATTGAAAATCTTTTTTTTGTTATTCTCTGTTAAAGCTTAAATTGTAATTATTTTTAATCATAATCATCAGGTGATGATTTAACTTCCTTCCTTAACAATTTACCTGAAAAAATAGATAAACATTTCTAATATTAATCAATCCTTGATCATTAACGAACACAATTATAATCATATAATTATTATAGCTGATAAATTATCATTCAAATGAATAATAGTTGTAATTACAATTACAATTGCCCTTGAACTTGATGAATGATTTAAACAAACACCAAGCAAGAAAAAAGTTAATTGTTACAATCAACAAGAAATTTGTATTCATTTTTCTGGTTCACTTTAAGTTGATTTATTTTCGTTTACCTTAATTGTTTACCTTTTATAATAATAATCAAGTGAAAGTGAAAATTTATTGTTGTTTTGTTGAATTTTAATCATGAACATGAAACAGTCAATTAAGTTAATTGCTAATAATAGTATACAATTCAAGTTTAATTGTTTAGTAGCTCTTTTTTTTATTCATTACCTTCAATTGAATTTTGATTTGAAAAAAAATTTCTGTTGCTTTGAATGACATTGACTCTGTTTACAAAGATGATTGTTAATTGTTGATTTAACTCATATTTCAATTTGATTGTTATAATTAATTGAATGGATCCAATTCCGTTGAGATTATTGAGTATATATGATATCTTTGATTCTTGATTCTATTTGATTAAACAGTTTCTCTCTGTCACAATTAATCATGTTGATTGAATTAATTAATAGTTTCAGTTGATTAGCTGAGCTCATACTTTTTGTTCACAATCAATTCAATAATTTGATTAATCGTTAAATCATTCAAATAACAAATTAATACCCTAGAAAATGAATTAATTCACAATTGTGCAGTTAATTGTTATTAATTTTCTCAAGTTAATTTGAGGATATATCTTCAATTTGATCGTTGATCAAATTATCCTGACAACCAACGTAACAATTTAAAGTTTAATTGTATCTGGTTAATTTTTATCATGTTAATCAAATTTCATTTGAAACTTTTTAAACTTCCATTGTCTGTCTAGTGTCTTAGAACTTTTTTTTTCTCGAACTTGATTCAATCTCGTAACTCGTCAAGCAAATACAAGTTCAGTGAATTTGTAACAATCAAATTAAATCATCAACTTTGTTACTAAATTTGATTGTTCACCATCAACTTTGATGAAAAGATTGATCAGTTAATTCAATTTCACTTTTCTACTTACAATTTAAATAAAAACTCATCACCAACCTAACATCAAATCAGTTGATCTGATAATTATTACAAATCAAATCAGCAGGTTAATAATTTTAACGGAAAAATATTACAACTATCAGGATACTAATCAACCAATTAACTGATTAAAATTTAATCTCAATCAAACTAATGCAAATCCCAATGATTGTCCAGCGAATCATCATCAACTATTTGAAATGTCACAAATTGATAACATTAATTAATTGCGATGGTTAATCAAACTTGTTAACATTTCAATCAAGTTAATAATCTCAATTTAGATTATCCTTTTGTAAAGGAAGGGAAAAAAACTATTCAATATTTTCATCTGTTGCTGGAACTTTTTTTCTTACATCTTTTGATGTTCGAACCTCTAATGAACTGTTCTTGATAGCATAAAATTGATGATAATAATGATTCCATTGAAGATGATAATGATATGTTTGATGGAAATAGATGATGATGATTTGGATGATGTCAAAGGCATCATTTTTATTTGTTATCCACATAAAATGCTCACCATATATGTTTGCTTGAATGATCCATAGATACTAATGTCTAGTATCATGAAATGATCACAACTGGGAAGGATCAATGATAATGATGATATACTAATGATAATGGTGTTTTTGTTGTTCAAGATGAGGATCATGAAAAGGCATCAAAAATGATGTAAAAATATAGCTAACAAATTGCTTATTGAAGATAAGCCCATGTAAAAAAAGTCTAATCAAGTTAATATTACATTCAGATTAACATGAATACCTAAATGTGAAGGCGAATTGAGTAAAAAAAAATCTCCCATGTGATTTGATTGAAATAAACGTTACCTTATATGATAATTTGATATTAAATTGCTTGATATGAATTATGATTGTCATTAACATGATTACAATCAACACCTAATCAAGTTATTTATTATCTGTTGATGTTATTACAATTGTGATTTGAGATTTCAACAATCAACTGTTTAGTGTATTAACCAATTGATTGTTGTTGTTGTTGTTATTCAACTTTAGATGAACATGATGATTAAATTGATTGCGATGATAAACAATTGAAAGTCCAACCTTTTTCTAGTATCTACAAATATACTAACACACTAATATTGATTGGATTGTCAATGAACAATTTAAATTGTTGTTAACCATATTACCAAACAATCAAAATATAATCTAATTTTGTAAATGGTTAAATTAACCAAATGAATGTCACTGATTAACTTGAATACTTTTCCTGTTTGTTACAAATGGAGACTCTGTAAATTTATCCATGGTTTCAGAACTTTTTTTTCACATGAATTCAGTTGAAACCATTTTCTCTCTGATTGTTGACAATTTGATTGCATATTATTTGAAATTTTGTTCATCATCAACTCACCGTAATTGAGTGTCCCCATTATATTATTCACCTTTTTCCTTCAACCTTGAAAATATAATCGGGCCAATACAAAAGTTACTTGTTATCATATAATATTAATAATATCAATTTTTATAACTTTCATGATTTTTATCCTCATCCCTTTATCATCTTCATCTTCTCATATTATCTTCTATTCTTATTTTACC